AAAAAGATGTTGTGTCTGTAGCAGACATGGCATTATGTATGACACCCGCTTTTTTTTGTCCCTCCTGTCCTGGCTAACCTGGTCTCTGCCTCTATCGCTACCACACACTAGTGGAGTATTAGTATAGGGTACAGCATGGCACAGTTCAGGGCACATATTTACACAGGGCCTCGAAAGATGTTAGGTAATTAGGAAACTGGCTATCACATTTTGAGGGACCCTACAGTCTTGTTAAGTTCAAGTTTGAAAAAAAAGTAAAAAAACCCATAAAAAAATAAAACCCAAAAATATTTATAGTTTTTTTTGTTGTTTTTACTGTTTTACTGTCATGATTTTACTGTTTTATTGTTACTGTTTTATTGTTAACTATTGCTGTTTTCTTTGCAGGAATGCCATTCAGCTGCAGCACTGACTTGTTTATTCTGACAACAAAAGGGTCTTGCTCGCAGAATATACATAAGGAAGTGTGTACAGTGCTGTTGGATAAGATTTTTCATCTGCAGTTAAAAAAAGAGCATTCTGTATATATCAAAGCATGAGAGCCTGGGGTTGTCAATGGGTGGATGGCCCCTATGCTTCGGTATATATTTTTAAAAAAAATTTGGCAGAGATTTCTTCATTCACGTCGACAGGGAAACTGGCTATCATATTTGAAAAAGTTAAAAAAGTAAAAAAAAATAAATAAATAAAAAAGTACAAGTCCAAAAAAATTTAAAATTTAAAAAAATCAAAAATAGTTATAGTTTTTTTTTTGTTCTCATTGTTGTTACAGTTCTACTGTTACAATTGTACTGCTTTATTGTTAACCATTGCAGGAATGCCATTCAGCTGCAGCACCAACCTGTTTATTCAGACTGCAACAGGAACTTGCTCTCAGAATATACATAAGTAGCTGTGGGCAGAGCTGTTGGATGAGATTTTTCATCCGCAGTTAAAAAAGAACATATATGCCGAAGCATGGGGGCCTGGGGTGGCCAGTGGGTGGATGGCCCTTATGTTTTGGCATATATATAATGTAAAGTGCTGAGCAAACTGTTGGCGCTATATAAATCCTGTATAATAATAATACAGTTTATAATATTTTTTGGCACATTTCATGTGTGCCCACCATTAAAAGTGGGTGTATGCAGGGAGGTATAGTCTTATGATGGGCATTCCACACACTTTTTCTGGCAGAGATTATATTTTTTCATTTGGCCCACAGGCTGCATAAAAAAAAAAGAAGAAGAAACTAGCATATATACCCAACAAGGACAACCAACATACTGGTATATCACTGGATTTTGAATGGTTATACCAGGATGATGCCTGCAGCTGCCAGTGATGGACTTTCAGCCAGTGATGGACTTTCATGCAAAAACAATCCTAGTGGCTAATTAGCTGCAAGATTGCTTTTACACGCAGTGGGAGAAGATGCCCCCCCCTCCCCTGCTGCCTTCAAAGGCCTTCTCGGACAGTCCCGTGCAGCCTGGGAATGCAGCCGGGGTTTCTGCCAGCTGACCATAGAGCTGATTGGAGACCGGAATGGTGCCAATCGTCTCTATAGTCTAAGAAATCAGAAGCTACGAGCATTTCATCACTTCAGTTTCGCAGGATATAAACAGCGCCATTTGTAAATTGGGAAAGCATCTGATCACACCAATCTTGGTGAGATTAGATAATGTAAGGGCAGAGGAGATATCCAGAGTCTGATAGACCCCAGATTTCTCAATCTGGGGTCAATGCCTATTAAAGTTATAGGGGACATTTGCATTACATGAGAAAGCATTAAAAGTGATAAAAAAATGAAAGGGACAGTATAAAAAAAATTTAAATAACTTTAAAAAAAAAGGAAAAAAAGCACCCTCGCCCTCCCCCCCATGCATGCTCGAGCGTTGTTGACCCCATGCTAGTATGTAAACAGAGGTTGCACTATGCATGTGAGGTATTGCCATGAACGTCAGATTGAGGGCAGTAATTATAGCACTATACCTCCTCTGTAAATCTAAAATGGTAGCTTGTAAAGTCTTTTAAAGAGTTGCCTATAGATATTAAAAATGAATGCAATTTGTTGCCATTGCACTGGGCATGCACAGTTTTAAAGCATGCCATGTTTGGTATCTACTTACTCCGCATACAGTCATCTTTTTTAATTTACCAAATAATTTGCCAATATATTATGTTTTTGTACATTAAAAGTAAAAAAAGTGTATTTTTATTTAAATGTGCATTTGAAAAATCACTGCACGAGTTCTATGTGACATAAAAAAATGCAGCACCCACCATTTTATTCACTAGGGTGTCTGATTTAAAAAAATATAATATTTGGGGGTTCAAAGTAATTTTCTAGCAAAAAATACTGATTGGTGTGGAAGTTATGACAGTGGCACTATATAAAAAGAGAGGAGTGTGGAGGGTGTAACAGAGCCGCATGTACAGGAGGGGAGTGTGGAGGGTGTGAAAGAGGGCAGTATGTACATGAGGGGAGTGTGGAGAGTATGACAGAGGGCAGTATGTACAGGATGGGAGTGTGGAGGGTATGACAGAGGGGGGTATGTACAGGAGAGGAGTGTGGAGGGTATGACAGAGGGCAGTATGTACAGGACAGGAGTGTGGAGGGTATGACAGAGGGAAGTATGTACAGGAGAGGAGTGTGGAGGGTATAACAGAGGGCAGTATGTACAGGAGAGGTGTGTGGAGGGTATGACAGAGGGCAGTATTTACAGGACAGGAATGTGGAGGGTATGACAGAGGGCAGTATGTACAGGAGAGGTGTGTGGAGGGTATGACAAAGGGCTGTATGTACAGGAGAGAAGTGTGGAGGGTATGAAAGAGCGGTATGTACAGAAGAGGAGTGTGGAGGGTATGACAGAGGGCAGTATGTACAGGAGATGAGTGAGTGTGGAGAGTGTGACAGAGGACAGTATGTACAGGAGAGAAGTGTGGAGGGTGTGACAGAGGGCAGTATGTACAGGATGGGAGTGTGGAGGGTATGACAGAGTGCGGTATGTACAGGAGAGTAGTGTGGAGAGTATTACAGAGGGCATTATGTACAGGAGAGGAGTGTGGAGGGTATGACAGAGGGCAGTATGTACAGGAAAGGAGTGTGGAGGGTATAACAGAGGGCAGTATGTACAGGAGAGGTGTGTGGAGGGTATGACAGAGGCAGGGAGTACAGCAGATGAGTGTGGAGAGTGTGACAGAGGACAGTATGTAAAGGAGAGGAGTGTGGAGGGTGTGACAGAGGGCAGTATGTACAGGAGAGGAGTGTGGAGGGGAGGGTATGACAGAGGGTAGCATGTAAAGGAGAGAAGTGTGGAGGATGTGACAGAGGACAGTATCTACAGAAGAGAAGTATGGAGGGTATGACAGAAGGGGGGTATGTACAGGAGAGGAGTGTGGAGGGTATGACAGAGGGCAGTATGTACAGGACAGGAGTGTGGAGAGTATGACAGAGGGCAGTATGTACAGGAGAGGAGTGTGGAGGGTATAACAGAGGGCAGTATGTACAGGAGAGGTGTGTGGAGGGTATGACAGAGGGCAGTATTTACAGGACAGGAACGTGGAGGGTATGACAGAGGACAGTATGTACAGGAGAGGTGTGTGGAGGGTATGACAGAGAGCAGTATGTACAGGATGGGAGTGTGGAGGGTATGACAGAGGGCGGTATGTACAGGAGAGTAGTGTGGAGGGTGTGACAGAGGACAGTATGTACAGGAGAGAAGTGTGGAGGGTGTAACAGAGGGCAGTATGTACAGGAGAGGAGTGTGGAGGGTATGACAGATGGCAGTATGTACAGGAGAGGAATGTGGAGGGTATGACAGAGGGCTGTATGTACAGAAGAGAAGTGCGGAGGGTATGACAGAGGGCAGTATGTACAGGAGATGAGTGTGGAGAGTGTGACAGAGGACAGTATGTACAGGAGAGAAGTGTGGAGGGTATGACAGAGGGCGGTATGTACAGGAGAGGTTTGTGGAGGGTATGACAGAGGGCGGCGGTATGTACAGAAGAGGAGTGTGGAGGGTATGACAGAGGACAGTATGTACAGGAGAGGAGTGTGGAGGGTGTGAAAAAGGGACAGTATGTACAGGAGAGAAGTGTGGAGGGTGTGACAAAGGGAAGTATGTACAGGAGAGAAGTGTGGAGGGTGTGACAGAGGGCAATATGTACAGGAGAGAAGTGTGGAGGGTGTGACAGAGGGCAGTATGTACAGGATGGGAGTGTGGAGGGTATGACAGAGGGCAGTATGTATAGGAGAGGTAGTGTGGAGAGTATTACATAGGGCATTATGTACAGGAGACGAGTGTGGAGGGTGTGACAGAGGACAGTATGTACAGGAGAGTAGTGTGGAGAGTATTACATAGGGCATTATGTACAGGAGACGAGTGTGGAGGGTGTGACAGAGGACAGTATGTACAGGAGAGAAGTGTGGAGGGTGTAACAGAGGGCAGTATGTACAGGAGAGGAGTGTGGAGGGTATGACAGATGGCAGTATGTACAGGAAAGGAATGTGGAGGGTATGACAGAGGGCAGTATATACAGGAGAGGAGTGTGGAGGGTATGACAGAGGGCAGTATGTACAGGAGAGGAGTGAGGAGGGCATGACAGAGGGTTGCATGTAAAGGAGAGATGTGTGGAGGATGTGACAGAGGACAGTATCTACAGAAGAGAAGTATGGAGGGTATGACAGAGGGGGGTATGTACAGGAGAGGAGTGTGGAGGGTATGACAGAGGGCAGTATGTACAGGACAGGAGTGTGGAGGGTATGACAGAGGGCAGTATGTACAGGACAGGAGTGTGGAGGGTATAACAGAGGGCAGTATGTACAGGAGAGGTGTGTGGAGGGTATGACAGAGGGCAGTATGTACAGGAGAGAAGTGTGGAGGGTATGACAGAGCAGTATGTACAGAAGAGGAGTGTGGAGGGTATGACAGAGGGCAGTAAGTTCAGGAGATGAGTGTGGAGAGTGTGACAGAGGACAGTATGTACAGGAGAGAAGTGTGGAGGGTGTGACAGAGGGCAGTATGTACAGGAGAGGAGTGTGGAGGGTGTGACAGAGGGCGGTATGCACAGGAGAGGTTTGTGGAGGGTATGAAAGAGGGCGGTATGTACAGGAGAGGTTTGTGGAGGGTATGACAGAGGGCGGTATGTACAGAAGAGGAGTGTGGAGGGTATGACAGAGGACAGTATGTACAGGAGAGGAGTGTGGAGGGTGTGAAAAAGGACAGTATGTACAGGAGAGAAGTGTGGAGGGTGTGACAGAGGGAAGTATGTACAGGAGAGAAGTGTGGAGGGTGTGACAAAGGGAAGTATGTACAGGAGAGAAGTGTGGAGGGTGTGACAGAGGGAAGTATGTACAGGAGAGAAGTGTGGAGGGAGGGTGTGACAGAGGACAGTATGTACAGGAGAGAAGTGTGGAGGGGGTGACAGAGGGCAGTATGTACAGGATGGGAGTGTGGAGGGTATGACAGAGGGCGGTATGTACAGGAGAGTAGTGTGGAGAGTATTACATAGGGCATTATGTACAGGAGACGAGTGTGGAGGGTGTGACAGAGGACAGTATGTACAGGAGAGATGTGTGGAGGATGTGACAGAGGGCAGTATGTACAGGAGAGGAGTGTGGAGGGTATCACAGATGGCAGTATGTACAGGAGAGGAATGTGGAGGGTATGACAGAGGGCAGTATGTACAGGAGAGGAGTGTGGAGGGTATGACAGATGGCAGTATGTACAGGAGAGGAATGTGGAGGGTATGACAGAGGGCAGTATGTACAGGAGAGGAGTGAGGAGGGTATGACAGAGGGTAGCATGTAAAGGAGAGATGTGTGGAGGATGTGACAGAGGACAGTATCTACAGGAGAGAAGTGTGGAGGGTATGGCATTGATCAGTATTTACAGGAGAGGAGTGTGGAGGGTATGATAGAGGACAGTATGTACAGGAGAGGTTTGTGGAGGGTATGACAGAGGGCGGTATGTACAGGAGAGGTTTGTGGAGGGTATGACAGAGGGCAGTATATAAAAGAGAGGAGTGTGGAGGGTGTAACACAGCCGCATGTACAGGAGGGGAGTGTGGAGGGTATGACAGAGGGCAGTAAGTACAGGAGAGGAGTGTGGAGGGTATGACAGAGGGCGGTATGTACAGGAGAGGAGTGTGGAGGGTATAACAGAGGGCAGTATGTATAGGAGAGGAGTGTGGAGGGTATGACAGAGGGCAGTATGTATAGCAGAGGAGTGTGGAGGGTGTGACAGTGGACAGTATGTACATGAGAGCAGTGTGGAGGGTATGACAGAGGGCAGTCTGTAGAGGAGAGGCGTGTGTAGGATATGACAAAGGGCAGTATACATAGAAGAGGATTGTGAAGGGTATGAGAGAGACAAGCATTATGATTACGTAAGGAGTGTGTAGAATATGGTGGCAGGTAAAGGAAATGGACAAAATTTAAATCTTATTTTGGTATTAAAGCTAAGGAAGCAGAAGGGAACTAGAAGGGGGTATAACTGCCTGTAGCAAGATGAAGTGCTCAGAATACAGATGAGATGCCCGGAAGGGAGGTGAAGTTCTGTTCTGTAGAAAAGCACTGATGTGGTCTTCCATATAATGGCATCTGTGGCCATCATTTTGTTTATTACCACAGCAATATTTCACTGTAGAGCACAGAGTGATGTGTCGCTATGCTGATGTCACGCTGTCTTGGATATCTATAGAAATGGCAGCTGGGTTCCCAAATACTAGATTGCACGGGCTCACAGAAAACAAATGGTTGCCCACTAATAACATCACTTCCTCATTAGAACTTTATTGAGCCAGCTGTTGTCTCCACCTGAAGACCATCCTTCTCTGACATGTTTCACTATTATGGGCTCAGTCCTTTACATGGAATGGTAGTGAGAAGGATTACTTTATACAACATACAATCAAAATGCACAAAATCGTTAGACACACACCCTGGATAGACACTTACATTTTTTTCTTGTAAATTGTAGAACAGACTTAACCAGAATGTCAAAATGACAAAAAAAGAGGACACAAATGCCTAGTGAATTATGTTCATAAAATTTTGCAAAAAACTGAACTGCAAAATATACCAACGATTGGCCATAATGCTAACAGCGTTGAATATAGCAGAGCCCCAGGGCTGACAATGAAGTCAATTTGTGGGGGTTGTATGCAGAGATCTAGTCATCACTCAAGAGCAGATGTACAGTAAATGCTGACACTTTTTGAGGGACAAGTGGAAGCAACTGAGAAAGGCGGCCAATCCCTCAAAATGTGCCGGTTTTGGGCTAATGTACACTGCAGCTGATAAACTGATGTTCAGGAGCTTTTCTGCATTTTTTTCAGCAGCCCCTGAACTGTCCCTAATGTTCTCCTATGTGCCCATGTACACATAGTAATTTACAGTCAATTACAGGCAGTTGAGTTTACAGTTTTTTTTTGAACGCATCAAACTTGCGCTCAGGAGTAGATTTTAGCAGCATTTCAAATGCCAAAAGCTTGTAAACTCGGCTAACCACGTTTATAAGCGTTTGCGTTTAGAAGTGTTTTTAGCCTATAGAAAGAGGAAAATGGAGACCAGGTAACAGAGTTATAGGTATTGCTGAAGGAGCTCTGTGATAAGTAGGAGGAGAACCAGGAGAGAGCAGAGTCTCGGAGGCCAAGAGAGTGGAGTTTTTTGAGGAGGAGGGGATGGTCAACAGTATCAAAAGTTGCAGAGAGGTCAATTAGTAATAGTATGGAGTAGTTGCCATTAGTTTTCATTAGTGAGTTTTAGTAGGGCAGTTTCAGTGGAGTATAGCATGCGAAAGCCAGACTGTAAAGGGTCAAGAAGGTTGCCGTCAATGAGATAGGAGCTCAGACGATTGTAGAGTAAGCGTTCTAAGAGTTTAGAGGTAAATGGCAGCAGGGAGATGGGTCTTAAGGTGTTCAGGTTGGTGGGGTCCAGGGAGGGCTTTTTAAGTATGGGAGTGATGTGTGCATGCTTTAGAGGGGTGAGAAAGGCACTGTTAGAGAGGGAGAGATTGAAGATGTGAGTGAGAGAACATAGGACAGAAGAAGAAGGTGACTGTAGTAGTTAAGAGGGGACAGGATCCAGGGGGGAGGTGGTGAGATGGGCTTCTGAGAAAACTTTAGTGACCTCTTCAGTAGTAGCGAGGTCAAAAGAGGAAAGTGTTGGGGGAGGTTTAGTATAAGGTATGCTAAGTGGGATAGAGGTCTGTGCAGTGGAGATGCATTGCATCAATCGAATTGCATCAATCTTGTTTTTGAAATGATTTGCAATCTCGCAAGCAGTGAGTGAGTTACTGGGTGGAGGTGGAGAAAGTAGAGAGTTAAAAGCAGAGAAGAGAGGACGAGGACTGGATTACAAGGTATTAATAAGAGTGAGAAAGTAGGCTTGTTTGGCAGCATGGAGGGAGGAATTGTATGTTAAGAAAGCAGATTTATATCAGGTGAATGCTTGCTGAGATTTGGTTTTACGCCACAATCACTCCAGTGCACGGCTATGTCTCTTAAGATTTCTGGTGTCGTCAGTCTGCCAAGGTTGCAATGGTCAGGGCCTGATACTTTGTGTAGTTAGAGGAGCAAGTTAGTCTAGTGTGCATGAAAGTGAACTGTTGTAGACAGCAGTGGCCAGGTCAGGGGAGGACAGGGGAGAGATTCTGTCATAGAGGTGGTCAGTTGCAGAGTGGAAAAGATAAGGGTTAAAGTTGTGAAGGTTTCTGCGGGTAATTGTTCGCTACTTGGAGGGTAAGTGTTTGAAGAGCAGGACACTGTGACGGTGATGAGATTGTGATCAGAGAGAGGAAAGGGGGTGTTTGTGAGGTTGTAGGGAGTGCAAAGATGGGAGAAAAAAAGGTCTAATGTATTCCCATCAGAGTGAGTGGAGGACTGTGTCCATTGTGTTAAGGCAAAAGATGAGGTTAGGTTGAAGAGTTGGGATGTAGCTCGGCTGTTCACATTAATGGGGATGTTAAAATCTCCAAGAATGATAGTGGGTATTTCCAGTGGTGTATTTTGGTTTTGTGCTGCCCTAGGCAAGACTAAAATCGGGCACCCCCCCCCGCATCTACATTTGCCCCACCCTTTCATCTGCAAACTCCACCCCTTCCTCTTTAGGCTCCACCTCTTCCTATTAGAGCTCCACCCACCGACACCGATGGGCCACTATTCCTCCCACTGACACCAATGATGGGGCGCTATTCACCCCCCCCCCACTGACACCAATGATGAGGCGCTATTCCTCCCACTGACACCAATGATGTGGCGCAATTCCTCCCACTGACACTAATGATGGTGCCCCATCATTAGTGTCAGTGTGTGAGGAATAGTATTCCATCATTGGTATCAGTGGGAGGAATAGCGCCCCATTGTTGGTGTCAGTGGGGGGAGGAATAGCGCCCCATCGTTGGTGTCAGTGGGGGGAGGAATAGCGCCCCATCGTTGGTGTCGGTGGGGGGAGGAATAGCGCCCCATCGTTGGTGTCAGTGGGGGGAGGAATAGCGCTCCATCATTGGTGTCAGTGGGGGGAGGAATAGCGCCCCATCGTTGGTGTCAGTGGGGGGAGAAATAGCGCCCCATCGTTGGTATCAGTGACACCAATGATGGGGCACTATTCCTCCCACTGACACCAATGACACTTGCTGACCCCTGTTCCAGCATGGTGCTGCTGCAGCCAGCATACCTGGTTGTAGCAGCACCATCTGCACGGCACTTACCGGGTGGTCAGCTGTCCTCCTTTCTTCACTCCAGCCTCTCCCTCACTCGATGTTCGCAGGGCCGCTCGGCTCTGCATCCTCGCCGGTGATTGGCCACCTGTGTGCCTTTCCTGAGCTACAGCTCTGGCGCCCAATCACCGGTGAGGAGGCGGAGCCGAGCGGCAGCAGGGACTTCCTGGACTGGATCATCGTGGGACTGGGACACGGAGCCAGGTAAATCACAGCAGCCCCCTGCCCGTCCCTGTACTTAGTGTCCCTTCCATTGGAAGGAGGGGCGGCGGCACCACATCGCCCCCTAAAAGTGCCGCCCTAGGCAAACGTCTTGTTTGCCTTGCGGCAAATACGCCCCTGGGTATTTCAGGAGAGAAAGTAGGGTAGCCAAGCAGAGAAGTCATCAAGAAAGCTGTCCAGGAGGCTGGTAGATCACTGCAAGCCTCAGAGAAATGGAAGAAAACAGCTGAATGCAGTGCATCTCAAAAGAAAAGAAGGATAGAGTGGGAGGGTTAGGGAGGACTTGAAAGGTGCTCAGTGGGGATAGAAGCAAACCAATTCCACCACCTTTCCAACCACTGGGTCTGGGTGAGTAGGTCCAGAGAAGGCCTCCATAGGAAAATGCTGCGGGAGAAGCAGAATCTGCTGCTTGAAGCCAGGTTTCTGTAATTGCTAGTAAGTTAAGGGAGCGGGGGAGGGAGACAATAAGGTCATGGACAGAGGTGAGCTTATTACAGACAGAGCGGGCATTCCAGAGTGCACATGAAAAAGGGAGGGTGGTTTTTAGGAGCATAGGGATTGATATTAAATTGAGCGGATTGCTGCTATTCGTGGAGGAAGGAGGGTGCCTGGTGTGGGGGTGAGATACTGGAGGACCAGGGTTTGGGGAGATATCCCCAGAGGTTAGGAGAAGGAGGGTGAGGAAAGTAAGATGGGAGTGGGATGTATACAAGTGCACATGCCTTCCTGTCCTGGTGTTTGGGTCAGCAGGTGAGTGAAGTATCAGCAGGAGGTGATGAGAGCAGTAGTAGGGAGATGGTAGCAGTGAGGGTGAGATGAATAAGATTTGGGTAAAGAAATTAGATTTTGAGAACAGAGGCTAGTAATATGAAAAAGAGGAGTAGAGGGGGCATATTAAAGGTACACGGAGTGGGAATCAAACTTGTAGGAGATGTTTCCCAGGGTGTTTGCTTGCAGTCCATCCAGCGTGCAGTAGAGTTCTTTGTTATGTCTTCCTGCTACTTTAGTTCAACTACTGTTTTGCACTCCAGCAGAAAATGCAGGACAATGCCCCCCATCTGTGACCTCCCCCATAAGCTGGTCTAAATTTATAGGAAGTTGATCAAATGAGCAACTCTTATCTGCCACAATTAGGAACTGATAAGGATCGCATGAATTTGGGGGAGGTTGGTCAAAACCAGACCAACCACAGACACAGGTCAGGGTCATAAAAGATGATTGATTCTCTGATCACAGAAAGGCAAAGGAGGTGAGAATCAATCACCACAAACAGACAAAAAGATATAGGACTAATTATCTTAAGTTTTGCAGAAAGTCATTGCATAGCAGGGAGACAGTTTAAGGTGGAGATCACAGAACAGCATTTACCTGTGAAATAGCAGAGAGGACATGAGCAGGGGGCTGTGTTCAACTGCTGTTTTGCACTCCAGCAGAAAATGCACTCACGCAGGGCAATGCCCCCATCTGTGACTGCACCCCCCTGTCGGATGATGTGGACTAATTAACCATGAAGATATATAAATTCAATTGTACACAAATATAATACATTTAAATACATATAAATATATATAGAATGCATATAAAATATACCAAGAAATCTGGACTGTCTGTTAACATGGCATACTATATAAAGCAATTAGTAAAACAATTCAATAGAAAATTGATGTAAAAAAATCACTTTTTTCCCTTATTTTTTTTAAAAAAGACATTTATTTATATTTAAAACCTTTAGAGATAAATCAAATGTGTTGGTGATTGCAGTTTTCCTGATTGCCCAGGAAATGGAAGGGTGGTGAAGATAGCTGTCCATCTCACTCCCTGAGTTTTTTCCACATAATTATTATATAATCTAGGATTGGTTCATAGTAATATAAACACTTATTATTCAACTCACCTTGTGCTGGAATCCATTTTGTTCAGATGTATTTTTCTTCATGTACATCCAATGGAGAGCATTGGCCAGAACATATACAGCCCTGTATGCATAGGAGGGCAGAGTTGTATAAGTAGTAAACAGATGTGAGAGCTCTTTTAAATCTTTACACGGTTTTGCAGGAAAGTGATAGTAAATTTGTAAAAGGGCATTTTTGAATAGGTTTGAGCTGAGGCAGCCGAAGTAATAAAATCCAATATCTTCCAGTAATGGGTCATTTAACCAGCTAGAGAAGTTGACACTCACATAATAGAACTTTAGTTTTATCTTTTCTGGCCAAATGAAAAAGAAGCTGCAGTTGATTAATTGTACAGAGTTCCCAATAGTGATACAATTTAGTTTATTCCATGTTGGTGGGAAAATAAATGTGATCGTTTCTATAACATTGGATATAGGAGCAATAAAATATTCAAAGTTTACATCGTAGGTTCCACACACTATGATAACTTTAGCTGCTGATTCATTAACAATCCTCATTCTCTGATAGAAATCTGCTTCATTATTAGGGAGTTGAATGATATAATCTATGCAGATCCCATGTTGGTTCATCATCTTACTCAGTTCTTTTGTCTCATCCTGAACGCTGCCATGCCATGTTGTTAATATTCCAACCCAGTTCCACCCAAAATGCTGCAAAAATTTTATAATAGCTGCAAAACGGACCCGGTCATCTGGTGTCATACGGAAGAAGGTTGGACACATTTTTCCATCACTCATCAGAGGGTCAGTGGCTCGATAACTGATCTGGATAATATGTTGGAAAATACATAAATGGGATGGACACATGGCAAACACTGAAATGTCACCCCTGTCCCAACATCTGACACCCAGAGATGATCAGACCATAATATCAACTCAGAAAATGCAAGTCATACTCATGATCTGTAAAGTCACAAATTATTGAGCTATTTGAAATTATAACTGCCCCTTCATTCCTTTCTCTGATGGAATTGTTCTGTGATGTCATCAAAGGTTTTTTTTGTTTCATCTCTTTCCACACTCAGCAGAGCAAGATCATAGCATTGACCTTGACCCATGATGGCTTTCAAATATGAAAGTCTTCCATTGAACATCATAGCCCCCCTTCACATCAGCAGTGCCCCCGCCACACAATAGAGCACCCTTACAAATCAGAGCCCTCCCTTACACACCACATTTCCCCTACACATCAGAGTCTCTTTGTAAACATCACAAACCTCATAAACATCAGAGCCCCTCTTTACATATTTGAGCTTCCCTAATTAAACTCCACATACATCACAGTCCTCATTACATATCAGATCCCCCCATCACATCAAGGGTTCTGTCTTACACATGACAGCCCCCCTTACACATCAGAGTTCCACTTATATATATGAGTACCCTTCTACACATCTGAGGAATAATGGTGTGAACCTCCTGCGCTTCTACCTATAATGAATGAACAAAAACTCTATGTATAGAGAAGCTGCTAACATCCAATCATATACCAAAATGATTAAGGACAAATGAGATAAAAGGAAATGATGCGGCGCTACTCAGAAGATACAATTATTGCATAACTAATACATATTATAAATCAATATAAATGCATATAAAACAAGTGACACAATGTACAAAAAAACATAAAAGTGACCTGATCCTACAAGGATCTACAAATATATGACCGTGACCTGATCCACAACGGATCTAGAAGTGAATACTGCACCACCACAAGGTTGGTAATAGCAGAATTATGGAAACCAAAGACGTGTGGTATAAATGTGCATGAATCCTGAATTAGGATCTGAAGTGATGGTGTATATATAAAAATATATAGACTTAGTCCAATTGCGGACTGATAAGTGACATGTCCAAAATTTGGACTCAATTCAAAAGAAACGCATAAAAGTGCATACAAAATGTGCATAAACCATGCAAAAAATAATAATATGAATCCTAAAACATTAAATAGTGTTTCCATACACAGATAAAAGCATACAAAATAAACCAACCAATAATCCATGAAGTAGTGAAAATATCTGTGTACCTATATCATGCAAAAAAAGGCATGACCCAAATCAACAAATATAAAATGTGAACCAAAATTGGTGCTAACAACACCATATAATCCAGCAAATGAAACCACACTTGTGCACGTGGATAGTGAATGTGGGTGACCACAGAAAGGTATCCATAAGTAGCCGGATTACCCACTCACCTCCTTGCTTCGACCCGCAGGGGTCAAAACACTTTTGGGATCTCTAAACTGGATCCTCCATGCATATGATTCCTCTGTCTCTGGATACCTCTCCCTGCAGCGATCTCCCTCTCAGGGGTATGCGTGTAAGTGGCGAAATCCTCTCCAGGTATACGAATAGTGTGTAAGCCAGTATCTCAGTAAAAAACATGGGTAGAACTTCCCATAGTGTAATACCTTTTATTGTACTCAATAGTAAGCAAAATAATCCAAAATTTGCACTCACATTATCATCTTGGTCAAACCAGCATTTGGAACCTCATGTTCTGGGTGTATCTGCATGGGTATACTTTTCTGGGTGCAGCAAGATGGCGCCCACACCGGAAGGGCATCACTGCGCCTACGCATTGCGTCATGTTAGTTACGTGACTTCCTCAGGGTCCCTTACACATCAGAGCCCCTCCCTTATATATTAGAAACCCCCCCTCACACAGAGGCCCTTTTACACATCAAAGTCCCTCCCTTATACATCAGAGCCTATCTCTTATAGTCTCATAGTCCATTTTACACATCAGAGGGTCCCCCTTACACAACAGAAGAGTTGCCGTATACAAACACTACAGGCAGCATAGGTGCATGGCCATGAAGCCAGGAGGCAGAACCAGTCTAGATGAAAGGTTTGTTGCAGGGGCGGACTGATAACTCATGGGGCCCCTGGGCAATAGGGATCATGGGGCCCCTGTGTCCTTGCCCAAACTCAAAAAAGCCTATGAAAAAGGTACCAGGGGCATCTCATGGGGCCCCCTAATGACCCCGTGCCCTCGGGCAGTGTCCGAGTTTCCAAATGGTCAGTCCGACCCTGGTTTGTTGTCCTGTAAATGCTGTGATCTGCACATCATTGCTTGCAAGCAGGGTCTCTGTTAGAAACCATGAGGCCCCATACAGCCAACCTGACAGGGCCCCACTCCCAAAAAAAAACACAGTTTACTATGCTTCAGTTATTAATCACAGAACACTCATTGTGTTCATTCAGGAAAACAAGGGGCTAGTAAATACAACATATTTACCAGACCCTTTTCCCTCTCGCTATCCTGAATGATCCTATTGTTACATAGTTACATAGTTAGTCTGGCTGAAAAAAGACAAAAGTCCATCAAGTTAAACCATTAAAAAAAAAAGTTTTAATCTTATACCCACAGTTGATCCAGAGGAAGACAAAAAAAAACCCAGCAAAGTATGGTCCAATTTGCTCCTGCAGGGGAAAAAAATACTTCCTGATCCCCCAAGAGGCAATTGGATATTCCCTGTATCAATTTTACATATAAATGTTATATCCAGTCATATTATAATATATTATATTATATATTGTGTGCCTGCCTGCACCTGCTGGTGGGAAGGAAAGGAGGGAAGTCGGCAGCACTGCGGAGGTGGGGGCACACAGGGGACCTGGCCAACGGGGGGAAACATATGATGCACAGGGAGGATGATGGGTGCACGGAGGTGCAATTACTGGAAACCGATCCCTGTATGGTGTTCTTTGCAACAGCTAAAAGAAGGGAAAGGAGAAGAAGCCAGCTTTCAGCTGTTATAGAAAGAGCCATTCGAGGGATTGTTTACAGCAATTGCCCCCACCCGTCATGCCGGTCACCCTCTCTGCCCACATCCAATTCACCCAGCTGCCAAGGCCCTCCTACTGGCCTGGGCCCCATACAGGAGGAATGGTGGTACTCCCTTATCTACGACCCTGGTTGCAAGAACACTGGTAGGCCAAGCAGTCAACAGGTGGGGGCATGGGACTTTGCACTGGAGACAGAAGAGTAGCTGGGGAGCAGGGTGATCGGCACTGAAGACTGCAGAGTAATCATATGGAATTCAAGAACGATGGGCAGCGCTTGGATCAAAGATTAAGGAAGAACATAGAGTTGCCTTTCCTCCTTTTTCCTTCTTCTGCGAGTTCATCAAAAGAATTGCAGACACTAAGAATGACAAAGTTTCTCATATGGGGACTGTAACCCTCTCAGTACACTCTCTCCAAGACCTATGAACACACGTATGTCGCACAGAGACTATAGAGGTCCAGCATTAGTGAAAAGGACTAATGTTCTACCTGCACCTGCTACAGTTCTTGAAAAGACTGATCAAAACAAGAGAATTGAGGATCCAAATCGCCAATGTCCAATACATAACAAACCACATCCACTTAAGAAATGTATCGGCTTCAGAAAGAAAACCCTCCAAGAACGTAAGGAACTTTTGAAGAAATTTGGGGTTTGCTACAAATGCTTTGCCTCCACAGAACACTTTGCAAAGGACTGTAAAGCGATCATCAAATGTATAGAGTGGGACAGTGATGACCATGTGCAAGCTCTTCATCAATATTCACACAACTCTACTACGCTCACAAACAATCTTCCTGAGGCAAAGCAAGGCGGGGAGCGCCCTGATCAAGCAGCACCTACCACCCCAGTGTTGTCTACTTGTACAGAGGTCTGTGGTGAAGGATTCTGTGACAAATCTTGTGCAAAGATATGATTGGTCCGTGTATACCCCAAAGGTCAACCTGAAAAGGCCATAAGACTGTGTACTATTCTGGATGATCAGAGTAACAGATCTCTTGCAAGAACACAGTTTTTTGAACTGTTGAACATAACTGGAGATGCTCTGCCTTGTACTCTAAGAACTTGTTCCGGCACTACAGACGTCTTAGGCAGGAGAGCCAGTGGTCTTGTAGTTGCTCCTCTGAATGACAATGTGGAAATATCTTTGCCCACTATAACTGAGTGCAACCAGATTCCAAGCATCAAAGAGAAGATCCCTACTCCTGAAGCTGCTTTTCACCATTCTCACTTAAAGCACATAGCCAACCAAATACCAGCCCTTGAGGAAAGTGCTGATATCCTGTTGTTACTCGGTCGCGACATCCTAAAGGGTGCACAAAGTTCGTCATCAAATAAGTGGTCCACACAATGCACCATATGCTCAGCGTCTGGATCTAGGATGGGTCATCATAGGCAATGTCTGCCTAGACAAGGACAAGAGGTCCTACTCAGTCTCTTCCTTTAAAACACATTTCCTGTCAAATGGACGAACAACTTGTTCTGCACAATGACCACATAAATACAGTATATTGTGAAAGAAAGACTGAAAAAGTTGCACAACGGCACATCATACAAGATAATAAGAAAGGTCTTAATTTCTGGGATGACAACATCGGCAACACAGTGTTCGAGGTAACCACTAAAGACAATGAGTTGGCAGCTACCATAGAAGACAAAGAATTCTTGAAAACCATGAGCAAAGAGTTCTACCAAGATGATTCCAACAGTTGGGTAGCACCTCTACCTACCATTTCGTACCCAAAGAGACTACCAAAAAACAGGGTACATGAAGAATCTTTTTTGTTTCTTTAAATGGCAGTTTGAACCAGAAGCCTGAGATGAAAAAGCACTTTGTGGACTTTATGCAGAAGGTGTTTAAGAGAGATCATTCTGAGCCTGCACCTCCTCTTATGGAAGGAGAAGAATATTGGTACTTACCATGCTTTGGTGTCTACCATCCTTGCAAGCCTGATGAAATTAGGGTGGTCTTTGACTCAAGTGCTCGTCATGAAGGCGTCTCCCTCAATGACAAGCTTCTCACTGGGCCTAATCTGAACAACAATCTCATAGGAGTTTTACTTCGCTTCAGACAAGAGCCAATTGCTATTATGGCTGACATTCAGCAGATGTTCCACTGTTTCATCATCCATGAAGACTACAGAAACTTCCTCAGGTTCCGATGGTACTGCAATACTGATGTCAATTATGAAGTCATAGACTATCGAATGAAGGTACATGTTTTGCAGAAAAACAGTCCTCCTGCAGTAGCGATTTATGGACTGAGGAAAACAGCTCAAGAGGGTGAGAAAGAATTTGGATCTGATGCAAGACAGTTCGTCGAAAGGAATTTCTATGTAGACAACGGACTCAAATCTCTACCCAATGAAGAAGAAGCTATTGACCTTCTAAGTAGAACCCAGAACATGCTTGGCACTGCAAACCTCAGACTTCACAAAATAATCTCTAACAGCGACAAGGTCATGATAGACTTTCCTTCTGATGACCATGCTGTCAGTGTGATGAAATTCCAACTAGGATCTCACCTTTCTGTTATTCAACACAGTCTTGGATTGCTTTGGAATGTTAAACAAGACACATTCACTTTTCAAGCATCAGCCTGTGACAAGTCCTTCACAAAGCTAGAAGTATTGTCTACAGTAAACAGCATTTATGATCCCTTAGGTTTCATTACACCTCTCACCATTCAGGGTAAGATACTGCTGAGACAACTTACTTCTGAAAGCTCAGACTGGGATACTCCCTTACCCAAGGGAAAACAACAAAGGTGGGAATCCTGGAAGTCTCTAAATCCTGGACAATGACACTATGTTCCCACTAGCCTCAAACCTGCTGACTGCAGCAGTCGTGAAGTACCTACTTCTGCATTTCGGGACACATCTTGGCTATATCCACCATGAAAGAAGGTTCTGCACACCTTTACTTTAGGCCTATAAAGGAACTAGTACTTCTTTTGTCCAAAGAGGAAGAAAAGTCATCAACCTGATTTAAAGGGAGGTAAGAAGGAATGTGCGTGTTGCTGCCTTCCCCTGAATATGGATTTCCATGTCTCAGCCTGGACTTTCCACACCAACATCTGCAAGTATTATGCTAAATGTTTGCATTGTTTTCCCTTGTTCTTCCCTTCCCTCTTGTTTTGCAGATGTTCCTGGAAAAGAATCTTTATTCCATATATTGGATTTGAACTAAAGTTTATTATAATAGAAAACATAGATTACGACGGGGAGTGTCATGTTTCACATGACTGTCATATTGACTGTCGTATGCCTTTAAGTCTTTCTATATTTTGTTTCTGCTCCTCTGTTTCCTTTGGTTTAAATCAGGGGTCCTCAAACTACGGCTCGCGGGCCACGTGCGGCCCGACGAGGCCATTTATCCGGCCCGCCGGCAGGAGCGGGACAGGAAGGGACACTAAGTACAGGGCTGGGCAGGGGGCTGCTATACCTTACCTGGCTCCGGTCCCAGTCCCACAACGATCCTGTCCAGGAAGCGCTGCTCCTTCATTCACTCCGGCCACTCCCTCACTCCTGCCGCTTGGCCCCGCCTCTTCACCGGTGATTGGGCGCCAGAACTGTAGTTCAGGAAAGGTACATAGGCGGCCATCACCTGCGAGGAGGCGGGTGAGTGAGAGAGAGGCAGGAGTGAAGAAGGACAGTTGACAGGTAAGTGTGCCGTTCTGATGGTGCTGCTGCAATCAGATATTCTGGTTGCAGCAGCACCATGCTGGAGTAGGGGTCAGCAAGTTACGTGTCATTGGTGTCAGTGGGAGGAATAGTGCCCCATCATTGGTGTCACTGATACTAATTATGGGGCATTATTCCTCCACTGACACCAATGATGGGGCACTATTCCTCCCACTGACACCAATGATGGAACACTATTCCACCCCCCACTGACACCAACGATGGAACACTATTCCTTCCCCCACTGACACCAACGATGGGACACTATTCCTCCCCCCACTGACACCAACGATAGGGCACTATTCTTCCCCCTCACTGACACCAACGATGGGGCACTATTCCACCCCCCACTGATGTCAACGATGGGGCACTATTCCACCCCCCACTGACACCAACGATGGGGCACTATTCCACCCCCCACTGACACCAACGATGGAACACTATTTCTTCCCCCACTGACACCAATGTTGGGACACTATCCCCCCCACTGACACAATGACAAACTATTCCTCCCAACGATGCAACACTATTCCACCCCCCAGTGACACCAACGATGGAACACTATTCCTTCCCCACTGACACCAACGATGGGACACTATTCCTCCCCCCACTGACACCAACGATAGGGCACTATTCTTCCCCCTCACTGACACCAACGATGGGGCACTATTCCACCCCCCACTGACGTCAACGATGGGGCACTATTCCACCCCCCACTGACACCAACGATGGGGCACTATTCCACCCCCCACTGACACCAACGATGGAACACTATTCCTTCCCCCACTGACACCAATGTTGGGACACTATCCCCCCCACTGACACCAATGACAGGGCACTATTCCCCTCCACTGACACAATGACGAACTATTCCTCCCACTGACACCAGTGACGGAGCACTATTCCCCCCCACTGACACCAATGACCTACTATTCCTCCCACTGACACCAAAGATGGGGCACTATTCTTCCCACTGACACTAATGATGGGGCACTATTCCTCCCACTGACACCAATGATGGGGCACTATTCCTCCCACTGACACCAATGATGGGGCACTATTCCTCCCACTGACACTAATGATGGGGCACTATTCCTCCCACTGACACCAATGATGGGGCACGTTTCTTCCCACTGACACCAATGATGGGGCACTATTTCTCCTCCTGATACCAATGATGGGGCACTATTCCTCCCACTGACACCAATGATGGGGCGCTATTCCTCCCACTGACACCAATGATGGGACACTATTCCTCCCACTGACACCAATGACGGGGCACTATCCCCCCCCCACACTGACACCAACGATGGGGCACTATTCCTCCCCCCACTGACACCAATAATTGGGCACTATTCCTCCCCCCACTGACACCAATGATGGGGCACTATTCCTCCCACTGACACCAATGATGGGGCACTATTCCTCCCACTGACACCAATGATGGGGCATGTTTCTTCCCACTGACACCAATGATGGGGCACTATTTCTCCTCCTGATACCAATGATGGGGCACTATTCCTCCCACTGACACCAATGACGGGGCGCTATTCCTCCCCCTGACACCAATGATGGGGCACTATTCCTCCCCCTGACACCAATGATGGGGCACTATTCCTCCCCCTGACACCAATGATGGGGCACTATTCCTCCCCCTGACACCAATGATGGGGCATGTTTCTTCCCACTGACACCAATGATGGGGCACTATTCCTCCCACTAACACCAATGATGGGGCGCTATTCCTCCCACTGACACCAATGATGGGGCACTATTCCTCCCACTGACACCAATGATGGGGCACTATTCCGCTCCATAAGACACACTTGGGGGGAAATGTCTGTGCATCTTATGGAGCGGCTGGCCCAGTATTCCCACCGCCGTTGTATGTCCGCAGTCTCTGGTCATCTCCTGTACTGTGTTCGCATTTGTTCATAGGTTTTTTTTTTTTTAAACTATAGTCCGGCCCTCCAACGGTCTGAGGGACAGTGAACTGGCCCCCTGTATAAAAAGTTTGAGAACCCCTGGTTTAGTTAATGCTGTAGAGATAGCCCTCCCCCTTTCCCAGAAATGCGCTGCAGCTCTAGCCTCATGTCATGGAGCAGGAAACATTATGATCTTTTGATCTATCGAATGTTCATTGTTGTAAGATTCTCTCAGTTTATGGAATAAACTTCACAAGATCTACAAGATGTCCTTCTCATTGAGTCACTGACTGTGGTATCCAGCTGAGGATGAAGTTATCACTATCTCATCACAACTGTAAGTTACAGAGATCACACGATCAATGTTTAGATTGGAGAGACAGAACACGGAGCTTTTACTTTCTGACTGCCTATCACATTTCCTGAGGTGCTAAAATGTCAGGACAGTGCAAACAAAAAACCCAAATGACACCGAAAGGAATTTGCTGAGAGGTAAGTTGAGCCCATGGAAGTTTCAAAATAAAATTTTTTTTTCTTTTTTTTTTACACATAAATTGTCATTTAATAAGATATTTCTCTAACATGCCATAGATGTATGTGGAATTACACCCCAAAACACGTTCTGCTACTTCCCCCAAATATGGGGATACCACATGTGTGAGGCTTTTCGGGAGCCTAGACTTGTACGGGGCGTAATTTCCTCATTTTACTTCCTCATTACCTATTACAGTTTTGGAGGCCCAGAAATGCCAGGAGAGTAGAAGCACCTCCCCATTTTGGAAAGTAGACACCTCAAGGTATTGCCTGAAGTTAAGTGCGTGGAAGAGTTTATTTTTTGCTCCAAATTTGGAAAATGGCTATTTTTTTTTACACAAAGTTACCAAAGTTACAAAGTTTTTACACTAAAGTGGTTGTAAATGAAGAAAGTTTTTTTTTTTTTGTGCATTCTATGCATGAAGGTAAAAAAACTTCTGCGTGCAGCAGCTCCCACAGCCCCCTCAATACTTACCTGAGCCTCATTGTAATCCAGGGATGACAGCCTCGGTTGTCCCCGGGTCTCTGCCTCCTCATTGGCTGAGACAGCAATTGGCTTCTGGTTATTAATATGGAGGGACCTAGTGGGCTGTGTGGATAATGTCACTTAACCTCCCTGGCGGTATTCCCGAGTGTAGCTCGGGGTAAAGTTTCAGTACCAAAAGCGGTAACCCCCCCCGAGCTACACTCGGGCTTACCATGCAGCGCTGCATAGGGAGTCCCTGCAGCACTTACCTTATCCTTCGCTCCCGCGATGTGTCCCCTGCAGCGTCCCCGGCCATCTCCTCCGGCCGATGCCGGCATCCGGCTTCTGTGTTCCGGTCCCTGTGATGTCGGGACGTACGGGCGCTGCTGGCGGCGGAAAATTTGAAAATTTAAAAAAAATGTCATTTTTTTCAAAACAATTTTTCATAGTAAAACATTGCTGTTTCAAACCATTTCACATACATTTTGTCCCGAGTGCTTTGTCCTGTCCCCTGTCTGCATTTTGACTGTTCTTTCTGCCTGGAAACTTAGAAACGTCCATGGCGTCCAAAAAGCGTCCCTTTAGGTCAAAATCGGTTTTAGACCGGCTAGAGAACAGTGATAGTAAATCAGAACCACTTGCAGAATTGAGTGATAATGATTGGTGGGGGAAATTCCTCATCAGACCCTGAAAACGATTCTGCGACTGAGCTCAGCGATGTGCGAACTTGGCGCTCTATTTCACATTTCAGTGTTTTTGGTTTGATTATATTATTGAATTAAATGTAATATTATTATATTATTATTTTTTATGATTATTTATTAAATTATAATTTATGATTTTGTGTTTCAAATTTTATCCTCCCCGGGATGTTTACTAGACTCTTGTAGGACAGATTTCAGTGAGTTATACCTAAATATTACAGCCTACAATAAAAAAACAACATATTTCCATGCAAAATAATGGTACCGCTTTCAGCACCAAAAATCGGAAATAATCAGACCGCCAGGGAGGTTAAACATTTCCTCAACTTACAATGTTCTGGGTACCTTGAATAAGACACGTTTCTGTAATTTTGATATACTCCCCTTCTGGATTAATAAAGCTACAAAAAAAATCACACCTAGACACTACTAAGTCACCTATTGTACACACCATATCATATGTATAATATATTGAAGGGATCACTTACCTGTGTATACCGATACAGACTAAGTAACTGGGCCATCACATGACTTGATTGGAAAGTACTGTCACCAATAAAACCGGCCACTTCTCCATGTTCCTTACAGTAATAGTTGGGAGCTTCCTTCTCTCCAGACAATATCTTTATGGCATATCCCAAAGATTTCTTTGGATCAGAACAAGTACTAAATATACGATATCCCAGGGTAACATTGGGCAGGAGATTGGGGTCCTTGTTAATCTCATTTACAGCTTTGATCATCGCCAAGATGCTTCTATACTCTTCAAAGTCAACACTGCAGGATATTGGGAGGTTTTAAATGACACAACATGATTACTTCTGAGATTCCAGTTTGGATGCAGCACACAGTTCCATCAGAAGTAACACAAACTTTTACAGAGTTTTACAGAGGATGATAATGATTTCATTTTGAAAGGAGACAACACATGTAATACAACCAGTACAATGAGAATAGTATTCTTTTAACATGGCTACTTTTGTTATTCAAACAGCTTATTTTTTTCCAAAAAAGATTTTTATTAGAAAAAAGGGCAGACAGAACAATACATATACAGACGTGAATCCAAAGTCGGACATGGCACTGTATGTCACCTGATCATAAGCAAAATTTCCTGCGCTCAAGGACTCAGGCGGGTGGCGAATAGATGGAACCAGACCTGGAAAGATCGACCACCAATGCATGTAGAGTTGTGCAGCTCCAAATAAGGCTTGGGAAGCCTGACCAATACTGCAAATCGAAACAAAAATGAGAAGCGCACCAACCTTGCGCATTACCTCAGTAACCAAAGTTTATTAATTGTAAAATAATACTCACAAACAGCGAATAAAATCAGGCTCAGCTCTGATGAAGAAGGGATGCCCTTCGAAACGCATCAACTGTACTGAGTATCTACCCCCACGATGGGATCCGCGCTGGCTTTCTACTTTTCAGGTCCCTTTGAGGACCTATATGTCTGATTTTATTCGCTGTTTGTGAGTATTATTTTACAATTAATAAACTTTGATTACTGAGGTAATGCGCAAGGTTGGTGCGCTTCTCATTTTTGTTTCGATTTACTGTATGTCACCTCCCGTGTCACAGACGGGTCAAAGCATAACAGGCAATACAAAACATAACATTGTAAAACATTGTGTCAACATAATATTGCAATCCAGGAAATGTACGTCATATAAGAAGTGAGCAGAGAGATATATTGTCTTTTGACCTTTGAGCAGGATTTTCTGTCAGGGAAGTGTGAAGTGTGTGATATTGAATATGAACAGCACATGCTAAAGCTTTAGATCTGTTTCGCGTGTCCAAGAATTGGATGTGTGAGTGATATGGGGTGTAGTACGTCTGTTTGATGGACAACGTTCTGTATCGGTTGTGGTACGAAAACGAAGATAGGAGGAGAACATAGGTGGGAGCTAGAGCTCAGGTAGGGAAAAAGTTAGTTAGTAAATAGAGTAGTGTGATGATAAAGGTAAGTATATAGAAAGGAAAGGAAGAGGGAAGAGAGAAAAAGAAAAAAAAAATTTAAAAGGGGGGAGGGGGGAATGGGTTTGGGAAGGGAGGGCTTAGGGTGAGGT